GGGTGGCTCTAGAACCTCTGAAGGGTCTGGGGGCACAGACAGAGAGACAGAGGGGTGGTAAGTGTGGGGGTGGGGAGGGAAGGGATATTGAATGTGTATAGGGCCAGACCCAGTGGGAGGGGCTCTTCCCACCTGGGCTGCCTGCATGCCCCACCCCCACTCGAAGCCTGGCACCTACTTGATGGCCTTCTTCTCGCTGCGTCCACGCCCTGAGTCTGGCGTGCACACTGTCTCCAGGGAGTTCTTGTAGCGTTTGCCCTGCGGAAACAGCACAGGTCACTCATGGGACTGGGCCATGTCCTCCCCACCTCCCCGGAGAACAAGGCCCTGGGCTGGGGGGCCGTCGAGTGGCACCTCTAGGCAACAAGGCCTCCCCCCACCATGAGACCCATGTGTGAGGATGCCACTGTTGTGGGAACCAGGCCATTGGTACTTGCTCCCTGCCTGGCAGATCCTAGGCCGTGTCAGGCTGGCTCAAGGACCTGCCCTGCCTCCTGGATCTGTGCCCCCTCGTTGCCCTCCAGGGATGAGCCCCTCCTGCCTGCCTGCCTCTGGGGCGCTGGCCAGGCTCCCAGAGACACAGCTCCCTCTGCCGTGGACAGACGGCTCTCAGGCGCCTGGCCACGTCACACTGGCCACGTCACCACCCCCAGATGGTGGGGGTGGCATCCTGCAGGGCAAAGTTGGCAGCGGCCAGTGATATGAGCAATGGGGGCAGGGAGAGGGCCCCATGCCCAGTCCTGTTTCAGGGCCGTATCCCTTATTGTCTGGGGCTCTCAGGATCCCATGCCCCAAGGCTGGGGACAGGGCTGGGGCTGCGTGTTCTGTTCTTTGGAAAGGCAGCATTGGGAAAGGAGGGTATGGATTCCTGGGCCCTAGACAGCCCCCCCACCCAAGAGCCCCTCACCCCAGCATGAGGAGGGCCAGAGGCCCACCAGGCCCTCTGCTAGAGGAGGGATGAAGCAGGAGGGGCAGGGGCCCATCAGGCCCAGACTTAGAGGAGGGGCAACTGGGCAGCGGGGACTGGGCCCGCTGCCGGCAGGAAGGTGAGCTCCATTCACCTTCTCGGTTTGGGTTTCTAAAATTAGCTCCTGCAGAGCCTGGCACCATTAACATTCCTGGCCTCCACTAAGCGTCCTCACACGCACCCATGGGCCCGGGCCGGGGTGGAGGCGGGCAGTGGGGGGGGGCTACACTCTGACAGACCATCCTCCCACCAGGGCCTCAGCCTGCCCAGCCAAGTGAGCGGGGACCCAGGTGCACGCGGGCTAGCACGCGCCTCCCCAGCACCAGGTCGGTCCTGTGCACCGACTCGCAGACACAACAGTCAATTATTCTATCCTCCCTCCAGCAAAATAAATGCCACCACAGCCGGGCTGTGGCACTCTGCCAGCCGCAGCCCCTTCCTGGCCGAGCGGCCATCAGCCTGGGGAACCAGGCTGTGGAGCCCCTTCCCAGGGGGTGTGGGAATGGGTGAGGGCCCTCAGACACCCTTGGCCTCAGGAGCACCAACATTCCCCTCTCCTCCTGGCCCTCTCTGGCTGCCTGCTCCTCTCCTGAAGGGTCCCCAGGAGTACCTTACCTTCCAGGGTCCCATCACCAGTCATGGTATCCCTCTGTTTATTTCTCCCAGCCCCCATCTCTAGAACGGAGCCCCCCAGAGACTGGCCCACGGTCCCTCTGGCACCTGGCGGTTCTGAGCCAGCCGCTGGGAGTATTCCTTCTGTGGTCCCTCAAGCTGGGACCCCCCAGCTTGAATCTTAAGTGAAAATACAAAGAGACTGAGTCTCCCTCTCTGACCCCTCCAATCATCGAGTAGTTCCCCCTGGGAGGCTCAGAGGTCAGGAAGCCCCTCTGTGGTGGCCAGCAGCCCCCTCTCTTGGCAGGAGCACTGGGCATGAAGGAGCCCATCTCACGCCTCTCCAGCCCTACTGAGGGAAGCCCCCCCCACCCCTTTTCTTCCTAATCTTGGCAGAATTCACCTCAGTCAGAACCCTCTGCTAAGGCCCAAGGTCTGGAGCTGACCACTCCAGCTCACACAGGACATTCTAAAAACTGCTTCCTGCGCCCCAGTTTTCTTCTATAAAGTTCAGAGAGCCTTTCCCTTCAGCCTGCAGGTGGGAGCTAGGATACTAGGGGGGCGGGGGGGGGCGTGAGCACAGGAACCAGGCAAGACTGGACTCGAGGGGGGGGTGAAAGGGGGCAACAACTAGGAAACCAAGTCAGGCCTGAAGGGACCTGTCAGCTCCCACCTGCATGCCAGGGAGGAGGCTGGCAAGGAGGACCCTGGCAAAGCCAGCTGGAGATTAAGGATGTTATTAATGTTTGGAAATGGGATCTTGGCTGTCGGGCATCACGGCACTGCTGTAGAGGGGACAGACAGGCAAGGTGAGCTCTGCGCTGTGCAGCTGTGTGGAGAAGGGGGCAGGGGCTGGGGTGGAGTGGCATTTGGAAGCCATCTCAAGAAGGAAGGAGTCTGCCCTGACAGGAAGCTCCCTGGCTTCAGAACCCCAATGGGGAGACATCTCTCAAGGCAAAGGGGCAGGGACTAGACAAAGCCCCAGTTCCTTCAACAGCACCAAGGGAGGAAATCAGAAGACCCTTGTAAGTACCCTTGGCTGGGGCGGGGCAGGGGACACACATTGGATCTGCTCCTTTCAGATAGTGCCTGCGCTGCCAGCTTTCACCTGCTCTTGAAGCTTCATCTGTGAGCTCTGGGTCCCAGGCCCTGCCTCTGATTGGAGGTGGGGAAGCAGTCTGCCTGTAGCCGGCGTCTACTGTACCCTGGTCCTGGAAGGTATCACACACGCTCTTTCTCTCTCACTGCAGCACACATGCAAGGGGGGCAGGATGGGGTGACTTCTGCATGAGCTCACGAGGGGATCTGATTTGATCATATATGTACGCACACACTGCACCAATACTCTCAAAGTCAACACATTCAGCACAAAGAACCCCCCTCCCAACACACTCTCTCTCTCTTTCCCCCCTCCTCTCCCCCACCCCAACCAGGAGTGCCAGCTCAGACAGCCTCCTCCCTCTGCTGCCAAACAGACAGCCAAGCCCGCCTGCCTCGTGGACCTGCAACCCTCAGTCCAGGGCCGCACTGCGCTCCCAGCCACGCCCACTGCCTCTGAGGACATTCACACACGAAGGCACGTGGCCAGGCCCTTGCCACCACCTCCCCTGAAATTCTGAGACACACGCAGGCACAGGGGAACCAGGTACAAGGCAGGTGACCGCCAGCCCCAGACCTGCAGGGGGGTGGCCGGTCAACCGCCCCCCCACAGGGGTGGGGGCAGGCTCACGTGGCCAGAGCAGGCCGTCCACGAGGCCCCGCCCCAAGGGGAGGAGCGGCCACTCCCACTCCTGATGGAGGCGAACAGAGCACGGTCCTTTTGGGGCCACCCCAGAGCGCCCCTTACAAGACCCTAATGCGCGGGGCATTGGCCCTTCGCTCTTTCCCTCCCGGGGAGTGGGGGCATGAAGCCCGGCCTCAGCCCTTTCGCCGGGAGCCTTCGGGCCCCTCTGTGACAGGGCAGGTGGCACCCTGTCCCCCTCCCACCATCACCTAACCCAAGGGTGGAGGGCGCCTGCAGCGGCCCGTCTCTACCTGCCCTGCCAGAGCAAGCTCCGGGCCTTTTCCCCTCGGGCCCCCAAAGTCCCCAGGGCCCGTCTTGGCAGGAGGGGCGGGGCTCGCGGCGCCCGCTCGGAGCTCGCTCTGCTCCCGCTCCGTCCGCCTTTGGGTGATGAATGCCCCCGCTGTCTCGTCCCTTATTGATGGCCTACTCCCGCTCGTTCATTCCCGAACCCTCGTTAAAAATAAAAAGAAGCCGTTTGTGCTTGTACAAACCCGGAGCCCCAGGATGGATGGGCGGGGGCGGGGGCGGGCGGGCGGCGGCGCCTCCTCATTGGCTGGAGACGCGGCCACGCCCCCACCCCGCCCCGCGGGCGCCGAAGGAGGGGGCTGCATTCTCAGTCTGTGCGTGTGTTGCTGCGGCTCTTTACAGGCGAGCTGGGGCAGGTGGGAGGCGCCCGCCTGGAGCGGTGTGTGTCTCTGGATGGGCTGGGGACGCAGGGGGCCGAACCTCCGCAATCGCTACGCCTGTGGGCCCGACTCTGCAGGCGAGAGGGCTACCTGCGTGTGCGCGGGGGAACATTCTCCAGCTTGTGGGTGTTGGAGTGGGGGTGGGGGACGGGTGCAGGCCCAGGCCCTGCCGCCCAGGTGCCCCCGGGAGCCTCACCAGTTTTCGCTGACACCAGTGGCAGATGCCGCAGAGCACAACAGTGACGCTAAGGCTGACGGTGATGATGGCAGAGACCAGGAGCACATCTCGGGTGGGCGCCCCTGGGGAGGACAAGCACAAGTCAGACGCTCCCTGGCCAGCCACCGTCCCTCAGCCCACAGCCACCCAGAGTGGCCACCGGTCCCCTTCACTTGGCTCAGCATGGTGTGGGCCAGAGTTGACCCAGCACAAACAGGGGTGAGCACACATGTGGGTCCCGGAGTCCCAGGTTCTCCCCCTCTGCCATGCTGGGTGACCTTGGAAGGGATTGAGATTTTTCCGCTTTCGGTTCCTGCTTCCACACAGGCTGGTAGAGTCCATGGGCCCTGCACCATCCCTTTAACGCAACACCCTAAAAAGCCAGCAGCGATGTGTGCCCTTCAGGGTAGCAGGGGTCCTCTCACCCACCCCTCCAGCACTGCCGGCAAGCCTTACATTGCCCCTCTATGCCCACAGCTGCCCCATCCTGAAAGGACACCCCCCCACCCTATTGTCCTAATCTGGACGTTTCACAAGACCACCCGTGCTCTCCCACAAAGTGGAGTGACAGCTCCTCCCCCAGCTTCTTGCAGGTGGTAGTCAACAGTAGCTCACACCGTCCCAGAGGCAACCTGGCAGTCAGCATGTGCTGGTGGTGGTGGTGCTGGGGCGTGCAACAACACCCCAGGTCCATAAACATGTGCTCGCTGGGCCTCGGCCTCCAGTCAGGGAACAGCTGCGTATTTACAGACGAGCCTGTGTGGGCTCCTGGTTCCGGTGGTGGCAGTAATTAAGGACTGTCTGGTCCTGGTTCCTGTGGTTTCCTTCTTGCCCATCTGCCTCTCCCGGCCAAGCTCGCTCTGCCGGGGACCACACCTCAGAGCTTTCCTGGTGCCCTCCTGCCACTGCACCTGCACCCCAGGCAACCGACCCCTCTCCAATCACCCTGGAATCCTGCTGGGACCCCTGCTCCCTGCCTGAGCCTTCCATGCACAGGGGAAGGCCCCCTTGCCAGCTCCCACCTACCCACCTTGGCCTCACCTGGATGGTGGGCGGGGGACACGGTATCTACAACCTCAGGAGACTGTGCACCTAGACCACTGTCAACCTCAGCACCCACCCAGAGCACCCACAAAGACCACATGCTGATCCCCACTCACCCACCACCTGCTTGAGAAGCACAATTCTGCAAGGCAGAAGGGACAGTCCCCAGCATTCTCAGAGGGCTGGCCCCTGTTCGGGCATAAGTCCCAGGGACATGGAGGCACGGCCCCATGGCACAGACCTGGGGCCAAAATATGGGCACATCAGATTTCCTGGTACAGTATCTACACTTTTTCCAGGGACCACGCCCCTCCCCAAGCTGCCCTGTCTCACGCAGAGAGCCTTTGTGGGCTAGGGCAGCAGGCACCCCACAAAACCATTTCCTTTGTTGAAATGGCTTTTTGTTTTCTTCTCACAAACCTATGGACCTAAGTGTTTGGGGTTTTTTTAATCATCTTATTGGGGGCTCATACAACTCTTATCACAATCCATCTATCCATCCATTGTGTCAAGCACATTTGTACATTTGTTGCCATCCTCAAAACATTTGCTCTCTACTTGAGCTCTTGATATCAGCTCATTTTCCCCCTTTCATCCCCACTCTTCCCTCCCTCATGAATCTTTGATAATTTATAAATTATTATTTTGTCATATCTTACACTGTCCGACATCTCACTTCACCCACTTTTCTGTTGTCCATACCCCAGGGAGGGGGTTATATGTAGATCCTTGTAATCGGTTCCCCAAAATGGCTTTTAAAATATGGCAACTTATATTCTTGTGATAAGCCTCCTTCACCTGCTATCTATCAAGAATCACCTATGGGGAGAGGGGAGGGACAGGCAATGCCCGCAGTGGACTGTCATTCCAACAGGCAAGGCAGGCATGAATGCAGCTCATGGTTTCCAAGCACACCAGGGGCTCCAGAACTCGTGAATGATGGGATCCCAAGTCGGGGGCTCCGGACTACCAACGCCCCAAATGTGAGTGCAGGCCCTGCCCCTTAACAGCTGTGTGGCCTCGGACAAGTGTCTTAACCACTCCGTGTCTTTGTTCCTTCACAACGTGTCAAAGTGATCTGTGTCTCACAGGCTTGTTGGTGGCCCCCCCATGGATTGGCACCATGATGAGGGCTGAGGGTTAGGGTGCCCACAGCTATGGTTGAGGGGCTGTGCACAGGCGCCAAGGCAGTGTCGGGGGCTTGGGCAGCTCTCTGGGACAGCTTCCCTGGGGCGGAGGTAGGCCCTGGATGAGGCCAGCGTGGATGTTCTGGGCAGAGGGATCGGTGGGGACAGAGGAGGTGGACTTGAGGGTATGGGGAGAGCATGCAGTGGGGGATCAGAATGGGGCCTGATGGGGAAGGGGCGTGTCTACCAGGTCTGCTTTGTGTTTCAGGCCCCCGGGAGCCAGGGAAGGTTTCTGAGCAGAGCAAGGACAGGACCAGAGGCTTGTTAGCAAGCTCGTGGTCCGTCAGCTGTGGTCAGCCAGTTGGAGGTCACTGCCTGGCTCCAGGGGCTTCCTCTGCTATGATGCCCTCTCCATACACACATCCCACCATCCACATACCTCTAGGTCTTGCGGGGAGTTGCCCAAGAGCTCTGAACCCACTCCTCAACCCCCACTGTGGCCAGACAGCCCTCAAGGACAGAAGATTGTCTCCCTAGACTACTGAGCCCAAAGCCAGAGGCACAGCCTGAATGGTCCCCCAAAAGCAGAGGGAACGGTCATCTTGGGATCCAGCCTTCTGTAGGCACGACAGCACGGGCACTTGCTGGGAGGCTACGGGAACTTGACGGATGTCCTGTGTGCCCACAGAGCAGCTATGTGGTCATGGGCAAGGGCGGAGCCTCTCAGGACCTCAGTGACTCCATCGGGCAAGGGCTGACCCCTCCTCGTGGTGACATGCTGTCCCAGCCTCATTTTTGCCACCACCCTCCGGGGTAGGTATGGTGATGGGTCCCCATTTTACAAGTGGGGAAATTGAGGCACAGAGGGGTGGGGCCAAGGTCCTCATCCAAGGCCATTCAGCCAGTATGCGGTAGAACCGGGGCTGGGGCCCAGGCTGTCTGGCTGAGTCCACACTCTGCCCTGACACAGCCCCCGGGGACCTAGGCAGGCCATTGGGAGTTGGTCAACAGCACTCTTTGGAACCCTCAGGGTCCCCCGGAACCTCTCAGGGGCTGGGGGGGGCTGCTGACCTGCTCCCCACCAGCCCTGTGCAGCCAGAGGGGCATTGTTTTCCTTGGGCTCATATCTTGGGCTTTTGCAGAAAATTCCACTCAGAGAAAAGTATTGGAACACCTCCCCCTTCAACTTGGTGACCTCAAGGCCCCCTGTGGCATGAGAAAATACTGTCATCTTCCATAGTCCCTCCACCTCCCTCCTAGAGACCCTTGGTGCCCTCAGCTTCCGCCGGACAGCACCTGGGGCCAGGGTGAAGCAAACACTTGTCATTGCAAATTTCACTGATGTTGTGAATAAAAGTGACAGGAGGCCCTCCAGTGATGCTGCAACCGAGGGCGCAGGCGTGCACTCCCCTGCCAGTCAGTGAAGCCAGATGACAGGGCCATGGTGTCCCTGGCCTGGGAGGGACCTTAGAGTCAGGAAGCCAGTCCCACTGCTGCCCAGACCCTCATGGCCAACCCTCCTACAGGAGGTGGGCCCATGGCTGGGCGTTTTAGGGAAAGTGACTGTGTGTCCTGCCCCCCTGTAGTCTCCAGCTTGCCCTCCGGAGCTGCCAGGAACAAGCCGGCTTCATCCGTCGCCACATGACAGGTCACCAAATCCTTGCCGACAGCTCTGTGTCCCCTTCAAGTCTTCTCCAGGCAAAGCCCTCCCAGCTCTTCCAACCCTTCCTCATATGACACACAGGGTTTCAAGTCCCCTTACCGTCAGCATATTAACATTTGGGGAAGAGAAGATCACAGCGCGAGCCAGACCTTCCGCAGGGTTGAGTTCTGAGACCTCTCCTTGGGCCGCTCACAGACAAGGGCAGACAACTGACACTGGTGGACCCGGGAGGCAGGGAGGCCAGGAGCGGGGCGGGGCATGAGGGGTGCCCCTCTGTCCAGGCCTGCAGTGGCAGGAAGCTCATTCCAGCTCAGGGTCAGTGGAGACCCAGTGGAGCCCTGCGGGCTGTTGCGGGGACCAGAGCTCCTGGCCACGCCATCCACTGTTGGGGGATGGTGTGTGTTTGCGCTCAGCGGGAAGCCTTGTGTCTGAGGAAGCAGTTCTGGAATATTGGCTCTTGTTCACCGCAGGACAGAGCCAGGCCCTCGGCAAGAGTGTGCGACGTGCTTGTTCAAAGAACAAATGAGGAGGCATCCTGGGTCTCCAGGAACGAGGACAACACATTGCCCCTGTGCCCGGACTCATGGATGCCACCCCGTGCACAGGGAGGCGAGACACTTTGGTCCAGTCTTGCGCCGGCTCCCCACCACCAGCTGCTCATCTCACCGGATGATTTCCCGCAGGAGATCATCACGCCCTTCTTCCCCACCCCCTCTGAGCCTGGACATGCGACTGAAACCTTCGCAGCCCGAAAGCCTTCCTGAGAGAGGGTGCTGGCTTTACATGAGGTGCATGGGCTGGGCATTGAGCCTGCCTCTCTTGCACCAAAGTCTCAATGATAACCAGGCAGGCTGGCATGTATTAAAAACCTACTGTGTACCGGGCTTCAGAACCCACAAGGGAAGAGGCTGCATCTACTTGGTTCACTTCGGGATCTTCCGTGACAAGCTCTGAGCCCAACCCACAGGAGGTGCTCAGTAACTGTGTGTTGGACATTCGACGCTTGTGTATGTCATCATATTTGTCTCCCAGATTCGAGGAGAGGTGGGGAGAAGTCACGGTGACAGAATTTGGAAGTTTCTCCTACACGCACATGTGTGCACACACACACTGGGAACCCCTCCTTTCTTCCTTCATGATTATCATGGCCTGACCAACTCCTGACTTTGCCAGATCCAGCTTAAAAACACCTCCTCCAAGAAGCCCTCCTGAACCTCCCCAGCAGGCACAAATCCCTCCTGCCTTCACGCCCCTGTGACCCAGTGCCCACACCTTTATTT